CAGTAACATTTTGGATGGCACAGCCGAAGATCGATCTCCCCAGTTTCCTTTGAGGAAAGCGTACGAGCAGGCAATGACCGAAGTACGTTCTGTTGCGATCCCTCCAGCCAGAGAAGCTGCGGCCGTCCCAGACGGACCGCAGCCATTTGCAGGGATACGGTCGAACAACTTGTTCGGGGCAGATGATCCTGCTATTGTTATGCCACCGCCTTCCCAAGGAGGCGAGGGCGCCCCACATTTCGACTCGGAGGCCGATTTAGAAGATGATGGCCCTGGTGGGTTGTGTGTGGACGACGAGCCTGGGGTAGTTGACGGCAGGGATCCACGGCGAGATTCCCATCCAGAAGACAAAAAACAGAAATTGGGACTCGCGCAAATTGAGTACCGTTTGGATAGACAATCCAACTTCTCAGCGGCTAAGCCGCGCGAGAAGGTTCCCGGGAAAGGACAACTCCTTGCTCGAACAACTCAAAACCTAGATGCGATGGAATACTTCGAAGATAGGCGCATTGTTGCCGGTCTGACAAAATAATAATTAACGCAGAAACTTCCATTGACGGGTCGAAGAGAGACATGTAGCATTCGAGTTGTTCTGTATTATGATCCCGACTACGTGCCCATAACTCGTGTGTGGGTCACTGACCCAGACCCAAAATAGGGTGCCCAGTGGTTGAAAAAGCTGCCTGAATCCACCAATCCTGGGATCCATCCTGGACGATGGTTCAATATGAATCAAGCTCAACGCAGACAGGCTGTGGAACAATACAGAGCCGAAAAGAGAGGATTCTTTGGCATAGAGGACCCAGGACCCTGTCTGGCATTACTGCGTGATATAGGGTTGGATGTGGATGACCCACCGACTCCTGAACCTGCGCCCGCTGTGGCACAGCCACCGGCGGCTCGCCCGATGTCAGAAAAGACTGCTGCTTACTTTGCAGCTCATCCTGGGGCGAGAGGAGCCGCGCCGTGGGTTGCTGAGAGGTTTCGTCGTCTTGAGGCACAGCGCGGTGAAGCCGCTGCTGCAGCCATCGCACCTTCCGATGAGGAAGATTCTGACGATCATCTTTCAGACGACGAGGACATTTGGTGGAAACAGACTTGGTATGGTGGCACTATCGCCCGTGACGGGGTTCCCTTCGGCACAGTCGGTAGGGGCCCATTGTCCGGCGAAGAATCAGAGATAATCTCTGATGCAAGCCTGACCTCGAGTCCGGCGGCCGCCGCATCGCGGCGAAGCGTGCCTCGGATGCCGTTACAAGAAAGTTCGACACAAATGCTTGGCCACCGTGAAAAAGAAAAGTTTGACTTGGAATATCCGTATAACCCATCTACTGACCTCATTTCCATCATCGACGAACCTTTTCAACTTCCGAATGTCTGGCAACAGAAAGGGGTCGATGCGGCTGTCGCGCGTTCTGTATCGAAAGACGAGGCCAAAGCGAATAAAGACGCCCAAGCTGCCTTGAGAAAAGAATGGGATAGACTGCGAGACATTGGCACGTGGAAAGAAGAAGGCGTCATATAATACTCTGACGTTGTCGCCGAACTCAACGGACAGACGGCGCACTTTGGCCGGCTGGTCGCGATCCTTGTTGAAAGAACTCGGAGCTGCCACTAGGACATAAAGATCGTAAGTGCAAAGGTCGGGTTGTTTTTTATGGTTCAAGTGTGAGAGATCAGGATAAGGATGTAGCGTTGTTCCAAGAACTTCCCAGCAGTCCTGCCACAATGCAGGCTAGCAAAGCAGCCGACACCTACTGGCTATTCGAATGCCATCGTACTGAGCAAGCTGACGCCCGCCAAGCCTACACTCAGTCAAGGTTAGGCGGCACCCCAACTTGGGTATTTCTACCCCGCGATGAATGGCCCAAGGAATGGTCTCCCATGCGTAATCCCGTATGCCCGTTATTTCTCTCGCTATACGGACATCCTGATTCAGGAGGATATTGGGAACAACGTTGCGAGGGGCATGTTACAGCAAAAGACTTCGTGAACTGTAGTCCGTGGCGTAGCTGCTATTTCCATAAGGAATTGAAGCTCTTCCTGATTATTTCCCAACCATCCTGTGGTGTTGGGTCCTCGTTTTGAAGAGACGTCGCCCCGCGTTCCTCCTTCTTCCTCCTTCCTCCCCCCCCCTTCCTCCCCCCTCCTCCCCCTCCCGCACCCATTCTGGCACACCCCTCACACGTTTCGTGGCCCCATAGGGAGCTCCACCGAAGGCCCCCGCGGCTGCGCCCGCATGCGGTTCCACCCCCCATTCTGGCACACCCCTCACACGTTTCGTGGCCCCATAGGGAGCTCCACCGAAGGCCCCAGCGGCTGCGCCCGCATGCGGTTCCACCCCCCCATTCTGGCACACCCCTCACACGTTTCGTGGCCCCATAGGGAGCTCCACCGAAGGCCCCAGTGGCTGCGCCCGCATGCGGTTCCACCCCCCATTCTGGCACACCCCTCACACGCTTCGTGGCCCCATAGGGAGCTCCACCGAAGGCCCCAGTGGCTGCGCCCGCATGCGGTTCCACCCCCCATTCTGGCACTTTTCGTGGCCCCATAGGGAGCTCCACCGAAGGCCCCAGTGGCTGCGCCCGCATGCGGTTCCACCCCCCATTCTGGCACACCCCTCACACGTTTCGTGGCCCCATAGGGAGCTCCACCGAAGGCCCCAGTGGCTGCGCCCGCATGCGGTTCCACCCCCCATTCTGGCACACCCCTCACACGTTTCGTGGCCCCATAGGGAGCTCCACCGAAGGCCCCAGTGGCTGCGCCCGCATGCGGTTCCACCATCCCATTCTGGCACACCCCTCACACGTTTCGTGGCCCCATAGGGAGCTCCACCGAAGGCCCCAGTGGCTGCGCCCGCATGCGGTTCCACCCCCCATTCTGGCACACCCCTCACACGTTTCGTGGCCCCATAGGGAGCTCCACCGAAGGCCCCAGTGGCTGCGCCCGCATGCGGTTCCACCCCCCATTCTGGCACACCCCTCACACGTTTCGTGGCCCCATAGGGAGCTCCACCGAAGGCCCCAGTGGCTGCGCCCGCATGCGGTTCCACCCCCCATTCTGGCACACCCCCTCACACGTTTCGTGGCCCCATAGGGAGCTCCACCGAAGGCCCCAGTGGCTGCGCTCGCATGCGGTTCCACCCCCCATTTGGCACACCCCTCACACGCTTCGTGGGTGGCGGGGAGCTCCACCGAACGCCCCAGTGGCTGCGCTCGCATGCGGTTCGGCACGCCCTTCACGCGTCTCGTGGCCCCATAGGGAGCTCCACCGAACGCCGCAGTGGCTGCGCTCGCATGCGGTCCCGCCCCCCATTTCGGCACACCCCTCACACGCTTCGTGGCTCCATAGGGAGCTCCACCGAAGGCCCCAGTGGCTGCGCTGGCATGCGGTTCCACACCTCATTCTGGCACACCCCTCGCACGTTTCGTGGCCCCATAGGGGGCTCCACCAAAGGTCCCAGTGGCACTGCCCGCTTGCGTCCGCCACCACCCAGCACAGCCCTTGTTCCCTGCGCTTCACCCACCCAGAACAGCGCTTCGTAGCCCTATAGGGAGCTCCACCAAAGGTCCCAGCGGCACCGCTCGCATGCGTCCGCCACCACCCTGCGCAGCCCTTGCTCCCTGCCTGCGTTTCACCCACCCAGTACAGCGCTTCGTGGCCCCATAGGGAGCTCCACCGAAGATCCCAGTGGCACCGCTCGCATGCGTCCGCCACCACGCAGCACAGCCCTTGCTGACCGCGCCTCGCCCACCCAGCACAGCGTTTCGTGGCCCCATAGGGAGCTCCACCGAAGGTCCCAGTGGCACCGCCCGCATGCGTCCGCCACCACCCAGCAATTGCGGCATTCACAGCTGCATATGGTTGGGTCCTTCGCCAGGCTATTTTTTCTACCATTTTGGGATATGTTGTGAGCATGCTGCATTTTTCGTCGAGCATCCCCCTGTGGGGGGACACGCCCGACTTGACGCTGACGTGCTGAAAGACCTGGAGGTCAGGAGCGCAGCCACTGGAGAATGGAAGCGCGTTCGGCGGCGCAGTGGCCGGGGGCGTCCACGAGGGCGGTGAGGATCAGGGGGTTGTGGCTATCATGGCGCCCCCCTTCATCTCGGGAGACTCTCCATGGGGGGGGATCCTATGGGATCCCCCCCCCCTGGGATCCTATCCCCCCATGGGATCCCCCCATGAAGAGTCTCCCGATCATCTCTGATCCACTCTACCCGGCCCCCCCTTCCTAGTCCGCGCACGTGCCTCGGGCCATGATGCGCCCCCCGCTCTTCCTGGCCCTCCTCCTCGGCGCACCCGATCGTTTTCTCCGGAAGGCGCGGTGGTGGTGCCTCGGACGTCGCTCTAGCAGTCGTGGTGGAGGGCGCTCTCGTCGTCGGCGCTGCTGCTGCTGCTGCTGACGACGAGGCATGAATGCATCGTAGTCGCAATCGTGATGGACGTCTGTCGTCAGTTCACTCCGTCGTGGCAGAGGCCTTGGCTCCAGGCGGGCGTGTCCCTCTGCAGGAGGAATTTTTCAAGAATGGTCCAAAAATAGTCTGGGGACGACGTTCTGACTATTTTGACCATTTTGGGGTATTGCTTGGCTATTTTTATTTCCCGTCCAGAATCCGCCTGCAGGGGGACATGCCCAACCTAAGCCTTGGTCGATCCTGTCGTACTGGAGGGCGAATGTGACACCAGGGACGGGTGACAAGGCGCGCGGTGGCGTGCGCGAGGGGGTAGGCAAGGGATAGGCGGAGGGCGTGGGTGCGAGGAGGAAGGATGAGAAGCGAATGGATGCCCTTTTGCTCCACTCCCCTCCAAAACAGAGGGGAGGCCAGCGCGGCCAGGGCAACCTCACTTTGAACACAGTTCTTGGCAGCCGTTTGCGCGCCTTCTGGGCAGGTGCATGGCCGCAGTTGTGGCTAGAACTGGAAGGCAACCTCGGACGAGCTTCGAGTTCCCCGGCCCAGTCCCGGTCCGCTGAGGGAGTGGCCGCTCGGGACGTTCAGGTCGTGGAGCACCTTATGAACAACAAGGCGATTAGCAAGGCCCTCGGGCGCGTGCATTCCCTGCTCCGGTTTGCTCAGGGCGCGGATGTCCAGCAGCGCTTGCAGGACATGTTCCCCAAGCCTGCGCGTCCGCTCGCTCCCCAGAGCCCTCACGAGGACGTTGCACCCGAGCTGAGGGATGAGCTCGCGTCCCACCACATCCGCTCTGCAGTCGCGGCACTCCCCCCCATGTGCGGGGCTACGTCCCGGGTGAATGCCTACGTCCGGGTGAATGCCTACGTCCCGTGTCTGCAGTCACGAACACTTCCAGGTGAATGCCTACGTCCCGGGTGGTTCCAAGGTCCTGGCGAGCGTGTTTGCGGACTTTCTCACGGGTGACGCTCCAGAGGAAGCCGTCCGAGCGTCGGCGGCCGCTGCCATTCGCCTTTTGAAGCCAGGCTCCGATGTCGACCTCCGGCCGCTGGCTTCACCTACGGCGCATTGGAGGGCAGCGCTCCGCGGATGGGGATCGATGTTCTCGGATGAGGTCCGTGACGCGGTCGGCAAGTCCCAGGGACGGGGTCGCGTGGCCAGGCGGTCCTGTCGCACGCCGGCATCTGCAGACCCCACCGTCACCATCGCGGCCCTGGACGTTGCCAACATGCACGGCAGCATGTGTTTAGGGATCATCGAGACTGAGGTGCAGCACCGCGTCCCTAGGATGTGGCCTCTGGTCTCCCGTTGGCTCCGCCTCGAGAGGCGCCATGTGTACAAGGATCCTGGTGGCGCCTTGCACGAGATCGTCGCCGCCACAGGGGTCGACCAAGGGTGCCCTTCGGCTTCGTTGTTCGCCTGCCTCGGGGTCGCCCAGGTGCACGATACCCTCTCGGAGCTGTCGACGGTGGCGGGCCTCCAGGACGACACCTACCTCCTCACGCCCCTGGCTGGCCTGAAGGCGGCCTTAGAGGCTGTTGCCTTGGCCTTCAACGCTGCAGGGTGCACGCTCAAGTTCCAGAAGTGTTCGGCCTGGTCGCCAGGGGCATACGAAGTCGGAACATCAGGGATCCAGCGGGTGGAGGCGCCTCCCTTCGTCTTGAAACAGGCGCTCGCGCGCCTGGTGGCCACGGAAAGCGGAGCCCCGGCCCTCCGCTTTTCGGACCAGCGGTGCGAAGACGTAGCGGAGGAACGGCGGAAGACCTTGACGCGGCTCTCGGAGCTGAAGGCGGCCGGCCTTTCAGTCCACCACGCTGTTTCTCTCGCCCGTGTGGCGACCAGTGGGGGTGCAGTCTATTTGCAGCGGTGCCAGCCGCTGACGAACGACAGCATGCTCGACGTGGATTCTGTCTTGCTTGATGGAATTCTCGACCTCCTGGGGATCGAGCGCTCCGAGGTTGCGGCCGCGCTCCATCGCCAGCGGTCGTGTCTTCCATTGAAGAGGGCGGCTATGGCTTGGCCAGCGCGTGCGCCAGTTCTCGGTCCAACTTCGTCGCCTCTTGGCTCCTGGACCTGCCGGAGAACGCGGCCACCATGGGGCTCCCCAGCGCGGCGGTGCTCTTGCCCAAGGCGCTTGCTTTGCGAGGGTGCCTCGAGACGGTCGTCGGGGAGATGGGCGCGCAAGGCGTCAACCTCCCGGCCGCGCTCGACGACGTCCTGCGCACTGCCTCTCTAAGTTCTGCGTCCACGTGGCGTTCCGAAGTGGTTTCTCGCGTCAGCTTGAATACTAGCAGCGGTGCCACCTAATATTACGTCACTGCCACTTCGATGCGGGAGTCTGGCGGCAGCGGCGGAGGCTCGTGGATGGCCGCCCCCACGAGGTTGGAGCGTTGTCTAACGGATCAGGAACTCGTCACCAGAACCCGACTGCGGATGCATCTGGGCGTGCACCTGCGACAGCATGGTCGCGAGCTGCACTGCGCGCGTAAACGGGGGAGCAACGCGGGCTACCAGGTTTGCAACCAAGTGGTGGACACCAAAGGGTTGCACAGCCTACTGCGCAAGAGGGGCGGTTCGTTGTCCTCAGACACGACGCCGCCCATCACATGTTTGTAAACATACTGGCCGACATGTTGGGCACACCCGCGCGCACCTAGCAACGTCCACCTGGGGAGTTGCCAGACAAACGGCGCCCCTACGACGACAAAAACCTCGTCCGTCAGTACTTGGACATAGCTGTCGTTGCCCCGCGCGCGCGCCTTCCCGGGCAGCGCGGCCCGGCGCTCTGATAGAACGAGAGGAAAGTTCCAAGAGACGGAAATGCCACACATCGTGCCCCACGCCTATGTGGTCATGTCTCACTTACCCCGGCTCGGCAGCGGCTGTCAGAGCGTCGTCGAGGGCCTCGCCCGTGGTCTCGATGAGCGCCATAGGTCGGTTGCCACCGACGCTTGCTACCAGCGCTTGGCGGCAACGCTGCAGCGCGCCAGCGTCGAACTGTTGGCGTCTGCGGCGCCCCTGATCCGAGCTCCTGGGCCCACTCGTCTTCCCCCTTCCTCTCCGCTCTCCCTTCGCCTGGGCCCCGCCTGAGTGCAGTGCCGCCGCGCCTTTTGTGTCCCCTCCCTTCCCCTCCTTTCCCCCGCCCCTTGCTTCCGGTGGGCGCGCTGGCGCCTGAGGGGGGGGGGGGGTGGCTCGCGCCTCCCCGCCGCGCGCCCGCCTCCTCGGCTGGCTCGCGCCTCCCCGCCGCGCGCCCGCCTCCTCGGCTTTCCGGCCCCTCCTGCCCCCCCCCCTTTCCCCCGTGTTTTTTTGTTATCCCAACCCTCCTTGGTTGGGTATTCGTTTTGAAAAAGGGACTGTGGTCTCCACTTCCCTCCATCCCGCCTCCCTCCCTCCTCCTGCGTCCTGCTTCCTGCTTTATTCCCAACCCTCCTTGGTCGGGTATTCGTTTTAAATAGAGCACTGCTCGCGCGTCTCCTCCAGCCTCCCCCCTGCCTCCTGCCTGCCTCCTCCTGTCTTGCCTGCGGGGGGCTGCGATCTGTGAATCTGCCGCTACTTTCGAGGCCTGCTGGGGGGCCCAGCACAGTGACGCCACGCGCGGACCCAAATTCGACCTCGCCATCCTTGGGGGGTTGCGATCTGTGAAACGGTCGCCACTTTCGAGGCCAGCTGGGGGGCCCAGCGCAGTGACGCCACGCGCGGACCCAAATTAGACCTCGCCATCCCTGGGGGGCTGCGATTTGTAAAACTGTCGCCACTTTCGAGGCCTGCTGGGGTGCCCAGCACAGTGACGCCACGCGCGGACCCAAATTAGACCTCGCCATCCCTGGGGGGCTGCGATTTGTGAAACGGTCGCCACTTTCGAGGCCAGCTGGGGGCCCAGCGCAGTGACGCCACGCGCGGACCCAAAATTCAACCTCGCCATCCCTGGGGTGCTGCGATTTGTGAAACGGTCGCCATTTTCGAAGCCTGTTGGGGGGCCCAGCACAGTGGCGCCACGCGCGGACCCAAATTAGACCTCGCCATCCCAGGGGGCTGCGATCTGTGAAACTGTCGCCACTTTCGAGGTCTGCTGGGGGGCCCAGCACAGTGACGCCACACGCAGATTCCCGAATTCCGAATTCCCGAGTCTCCCGAATTCCGTCTGCAGACATATGCAACCCTCGCTCCGTCATTGCCCCATGTATAATAAAGTGTCCTAAACTATTTGCGCCCCGCGTTTGCGCAGGGGTCGGGTACGTCGCCAGGGTAATTTGTTTTTCGAAGTGAGTCCTGTCGCTGGCGTCCGGGCGGGCCGTCGCCCCCCGCCCAGGCGCCGAACAAGAAACACATGATGGACACACGCCCGTGGAGAGACGGTTTTCGAGATCACTGTGGTTCATTTGCTCGGCCTGGCGCGCGTCGACTGTTCTCGCGCGCCTGGCGCCAGTCAGTGGACGCCCGCCCCAAAGGTGGATGGGCGCTGGGGTCGCGGCAGCAGCAGGGGGGGGAGGGGGAAATGGGGTAGATGGAGGAAGAGGTGAGGAGGGGGAGGAGGAGGAGGAGGAGGAGGAGAGGAGGAGGAGGAGGAGGAGGAAGGGAGGATGGAGGAGGAGGAGGACGAGAGGAGGAGGAGGAGGAGGAGGAGGACGAGGAGGACGAGGAGGACGAGGAGGTGGAGGAGGAAAGGGGCGACAAGGAGTAGAAGGATGAGCAGGAGGCGGAGGAGGAGGAAGAGGAGGAGGAGGATACCCAGAGCCTCTTTGGCTCAAGCACTTAGCAGGAGGCGCAGGGGGGATTTGAGGAGTGGCGCGGGAAGACGCGGCCCCAACTGTGTTCGGCAGCGCGTATTTTTTGTTTTTTCCACGCTCTGCGCGCAGGTGCGTCCCAGCCATGGTGGGGGACCTGTCGGAGTGGAATTCGCGGGCACAAGAAGTGCTGGTGCCAGAGCGATGTCGGGTGGTTTCCGATGCGGTCGGCCATGCGGGAGGCAGCTTGAGGTCGCGGCGCCGCGTGCCATCGGGCAGGGGCTCAATGGCCCCCCCCAGGCCGATTGCGCGAAGCATGCAGATCATTGGCGTTGCGGTGCTTATCTATGCTAGGACGTTTGCGGATGGTTACGACAGTCTTGCGTGCGATTGGCCCGCAAATTTCATTGCTTATGCATCGGCTAAAAAGTTCTGTTGCGCGGGGGCCGCGAGCTTCTGCCAGGACAGCGCGCGTCGAGCAACGCCACTTGGCTGACAAACTGTCGTAGACACAAACGGCTTCCGATATTTTTGCAACCGGTTTTGGCCAGGGTCGCGACGCGCGCAGCTCATTGCAAGGTGGAGGTCGCTTCTGCCAGCGCCGCGGTCGACGGGGGCTCTGCCAGAACAGCCAGCGCCGTCGCAGCCATCCCGAAAAAAATCCAGCCCCGTTGATCAGTAACATCATAGCATCGACGGGCTACTGGGGCGAAAAAGCGACGAGGTGGGCGAGTTTGCCAAGGCGCTCAAGAGGCTCTTCATGTCGGTGGCGTTTCTGGTCATGTCTTTTCTGTTCCTGGGGATGGTTGAGATGAGGGCTCACCAGGTGGAGGTGTCGCAGCAGCGCGTGATGCCGCAGCTCCCAGCTGCCGCGGCGTCTGCTTCCACCCAGGCTCAACAGACCATGCAGGTGGATCTCACGGCGGCAGAATTTTCCCCGGAAGCACGGGCTGCGCCATGGCGGGCACAGAGAGGCACATCTGGATCTGCTCGAGTCCACCAGCACGGCGCCCAACGTTCAGAGCTCAACCATGGTAGAATTCATGGCCAAGCATGGATCCAACGTTCAACGCGGCATGTTGGTATTATATGTATGCAATAACGTACGCAATCATGTTCTTACGAAGTACCTCGGTGGCCCTTTTGCCTAGTCAGTCACCGCAGATGCGGGCCAGGGCAAACCTGAGCAGCATGTCCAACAGACGGTCGACGGTGGTCACATGCAAAACCCACTGGCCTATCTGGGCCGGGGGCCCTACTGCAGCACTAGAATGTGACAGTTTGTCATGTCGTGGCAGCGCAATGGCATCATTTGTGAGCTCCCAATGTAGTTCTCGGGGCTCCAAACTGCGCATGTTTGGGTGGCGAGCCAGAACGGGCCCTGCAGTTCCCGCGGGACGAGGAGGCACGAACGGTGCAAATGGTTCCGTTCGTTCACGGCTTAGCCTCAGTCGACTTCGGTCAGCTAGTCTTTGCGGACGTACGCGCGGTCTTACATGACGGAGAGCAGCGTTCACCACGTAGGTGGGCTTTGTTCGTGACCGTCGGCGCCACCATTCAGGCAGAGCGCATACCTTCCGTCAAATACGGATATTTCTACGTGATTCTAAACATCCTGCGTGGTTCAGGATGGATTGAGGGGGTTGGTGCAGCCATCATGTGGCCAGCATGTACCTTATGTTCTAAAGGCTTGGTCGCAAGCAGCAGGGCGTTGGACTACTGCGGCGTTGCTCTGTCCGAGCTGCCGCACTCGGCCAAGGTCAAGGTGATCGCCAGCGCGGGCGCTGCACCTCATTGCCCCGCCCTTCACACCTTGCCAAGTCTCGGGGGCGCGGGGGTCGGGTGCCGTGTCGCGCGCGTACCAGAGCGCTGCCTTTGGGCGTTGCCAGCGGGGTGGGGCGCCGTTACGATGCTCACGTGCAAATATGGTTCGATGTGGAGACTGGCGTGCAGAGAGGCACGGCCGACGATAGGCGGCGCGCCTGGTCCGTGGCCGCACGCCTGGACCTCGCCGTCGACACAATTCTCAGGACCCCTGTGCTACGGATCAACCTCAGTGTGACGTCGTGACGATCCTGAATCGTGCTAGAACGCCGTCCCTAGGATTTTAACATCGCGAATCAAAGGAACTGTTGCACCCTGACAATCTTGAATCCTTCCACAACGCCGTTTCTGGCACGGTGACCATGGGCATCCATGAAGTCCTGCTGTTTGTTAAACCGAACGCGCGCGGCGCTAAGGCGAGAGCCACAGTTTGAAAACCATCAGCCCGGAATTCCGTGAAGTTCTTGCAACATCTTCAGACGAGAGCGCGCGGCGCCAAGGCGAGAACCGCATTTTGAAAACCGCCCGCCCTCAAACTGCAAAACCCTCGCACGTGTTGAGAACGAATGCGCGCGGCGCTGGGGCGAGAGCCACATGTTGAAAAAACCATGCACCTTCCATGTGTGAAGATGCTGCCAATTTGTAAGTTTCAGGGTCATAAGTGGTGAAGAAGTCTTA